GTCTCTAGCGTGTTATCGTCGGGCGCGACCTCGGTCGGAAATTGAAGCTGCGGGGATGTGTTGAGTCGAAGTCTAATCGAACCCACGCCGGCAGTGGGGATTCTGCGAGCCACATCCCGGTCGTTTAGAAGGGGATCACTAAGAAGCCCCTCATCTTTTCTCAGGGGAATAGCAGGGGCCTCGCGGTGGTCTAACCTGAAATTCGTCATCAGCCGTGCAACACAAAGTCCTTTCCAAGATTCGGTTCAAGCCGCATCGTACGAGGCGCCACATCTCGAGAGCGGGGGGCAGCATCGCGGATGGCGACCGTTACGCATGGCCCATGGATGATGGGAGGGCCGGCTATACCTTGGTAAAAACCCTCGATCGGAGCCGATACATCTGGTCAATCTTTGACTAACTGCGACATGTTTGCGACTCCAGTTCCTGGCTTTGGGTGACATAGTTCGCTGGTAGTCCAGATTCCCAACGGATGCTTTCTTTTGGTCTGACGAATGAGGCAGCGAGCCATGTCAATCGAAACATTCGTCCAAACTCGAGTTGTTCGAGGATTTGCGTTTTCGTGGAGTAAACAGACGGGCTTGATGCTGCCTTTAATCTGGTATTTGCGCTGGAGTAACCCGTCTACGATCATCCATGGTTGAGATGGACGACAAGAGATGACAGGAGTTGTGCAAGTGAGAGTGTATGCACAGACAGAGGCAACGGCCGCCACACCGTTGGTAAAGTCAGATTGACAACAACAGCACAGACTCTCGTCCCGTCCCGATCTTTCGGTCCACCCCGTGTTGTGTGGCTGACCACCACCATACCATCTGACCGTCAGCATTCGGATCCGAAAGCGAAGCAAAATCCGCAAAAGACCACGATGATTTCCCCAAGAATGGAGCATACGACCGCAAATCTCCCAACGTCAAAGCGCTCGCAAAAAATCGAGGCCATGGACGGCTCTCACGGGATGCTTCCATCCCCTGATATCGCAGCCCACGTCTAAAAGCTAATTTCTTGGCTCCGCTGGACCCCGAAGTTGGGGGTTGCTCCGTGAGCGCCTGGGGGGGACTGGGCTGACTGCAAGTCCTTCACCTGCAAAGTGCATCCTTCACCCTGTATTCTCACCTGAAAAGCGGAATTCCGGAGAACTTCTGGAACTTCTTTTGCCTGTGTGGACCGTCAGCAGGGGCTGCCCCAAGGGCTCAGGCCAAGTCGGCACTCCAGGTCCCACGTGGTGGCACAGCAACTTCTTCAACCAGGCGAACTTTTGTGTGTTGGAACCTGATGTTTGATGAAGAAAAGCAAATTCTCTGGAACCCATGGAACTTATCCAACGCCAACTAACGCGCCGTTGAAACGTTGCGACCAGAATTTCCCTCAAGGAAGAGCCTTTTTACTGAGACAACCTGCTTTTATAGGGATGGCTGGTCGATACCGGAGCAGACGAACTTTACCACACATGGACAATTGCCCGAACCGGCGTGTCTCGGACAGGGATATCCTCGTATGTCACAATTGAGTTGTCATCGCGACACAGACCGACTCGGGCTACCTCGGGTGCGCTTCGATCCACTATGCAAGCTACACGCTGAAGACTTGGAGGCTAGACCTGAGTGAAGTTAGCCCGCCAAGTTGTCAAAATTCCCGGCTGTCACCTCTGAACCTGTGCGCACTTCTTCAACACGCCATTCTAGCCCCCAATGTGATATATCACTCCCGTGTCGTAAAGAGTCCAGGAGACTGGGAAGGACCTGTCGCCCGAGTCTGGCTTAGACTGAGGCTCTTTGTCCCTTCATCTTGGTCATGTGGCAACTGCAACTTCGTCTGTTCGGAAGCACTCCGTGGTTGGGACTCAGATGCCAACGCCATCCGTAGGTGGCTTTGCCAACATCCGCCAGCAGCCAGTCACAGTCGTCTCCCTCAGAAACGGCGTTCCCACAAAGCTCCCGAGTGGGAGAAATCAAGTTTCCCATCACCACCATCCCTGGACCTGCGCTAATTAGTGCCGCGTACAATGTAATGTACTGCATAGTGCATCTCAGGGGACCTGCAGCGGTGCATGGTTCCGGCGTGCCGCGGCCAGCTTTGCTTCTAGAACCCTAGAATTCCTCGTCCAGGCGAAGCTTCAAGTGACTGGTCGCAACTTGATGTGTTTTGCAAGATGCAGGCCGGGGCCGGCTCGTCTCCAGGACGTGCTCCTGAAATGCAACGTCGGCACGGTCTCCGGCGGGGGGCGAAGAGCAAAGGGTCTGCTCTCATGGCCCTTTAGCCCTCATACCCCGTATTCCGTCCTCGTGGTTCTTGCCCAAGATGCTTACAAACGCGAGCCGAAGGACATAGTACGAGCGTGAGTGGAGGGATGGACGGACCTCCTACCTTGTTGATGATCCGAGGGATGAAGCCGAACAAGATGGCGCAGCCCACATCTCACACATTCGGGTTAGATACCACACAGAGTTCGCACCTGCAGCCGGCTTGGCCGTTACTGCAAGTGTGATATCTTGCCTGTCCTCCGACAGGGGACGCCCTTTCTCGTCCAAACGGTCGGGACTGGAGCCCAATCCAAGACGTCGGAACCGACGAGGAAAGAGAGTTGCTCGGGGGGAAGGTAGGCCATGCTGAACTTTGAAAGAATATTAGTCTTCTTATCTCCCACGCCCTCCACTTCTCCTTCTTGGCGCGTCTAATGAAGAACTGGCAAGAACGAACGCAAATCCTCGTCTGATGAAGTTATGAACGAAGGCCTGCCCAGATAAAGCGGTCTAAAGCCAACCCGGGCTCCGCCACTCCCGTCCACGTCCACTTTCTGCGCCTGGACTCCTTCTTCCCTACCCGGGGCTACGCGTCGGTTCGATCGGCTAGCAGTGGCTGCTTCCCACTTCCCGTCCCCTCAACCTCCTCTTGAGATAGTCAGCACGCCAGATATTCAGCCTTACCCGCTGGCTATAGCTCACCGCAACAACGAGTTGCCCTCAAGGATCCCCAAAGGAGGGTATTTTGAGAGTCGATCACAGCCATGAGTTCACCGCCATGGACATACAACACCCCGCCGGGGACGGATACCGATGGACCCAAGATTGCGACTATTGCGATTGTGTTCACGGCCTTGTCGTTGGTCATTATGGCCTTGCGGCTGTACGTCCGCATGGTGATGCTGAAGGCAACTGGGTCCGGTAAGTGCAATCGACTCGACTGCTGAGAGAAAAGTGTGCTGACGATGATTGATGCAGATGACTGGGTCATCGTTGTTACCTGGGTAAGATAAAATTTACGAAGCAAGAAGGGGCTTGAACTAATAATGACGCTTTAGTTTTGCGCCGCTGGCTTTGCCGTCGTGAGCATCATGCGTAAGTTGATTTTCCCTGAAAGAGAGATCGAATGGATTTCTGACACTTTAACGCAGAAACGAAATGGGGCCTTGGCCTGAAGAAGTTGACCGACATGCCGGAGGAGAATCTCTATGAGTTCGGCCTTCTGCAATATGCCGGTGCTCCATTGTAAGTTCTCCCTCGTCACCGCGAAGCACTCCTTTCTGACAATAGACAGCTACATCTCGAGCATTCTTGGATTCAAGCTCAGTTTGCTTCTTTCATACCTGCGTTTTATCCCCAAGGGCATCTACAGATGGAGCACATTTGCGACCATCGGTCTCTGCATTGCCTACCATATTGCTTTCTTGGTTGTTCAGATCAACCTGTGCACACCGGTATGATGCGCTGAAGTCTTCTGTTCATTCCAATGCTAACAGCCTATAGATTGCTAAGCAGTGGGATCCAACAATTACCAACGGCTCTTGTATCCCCGGTGTCCCCTTCTACACCAGCATGGCTGCCCTGACAATTGTCTTTGATATCGTCGTGTGAGTCTTGCTAATTCTAACTTCGGTTTCTTCTCAGCAGCTGACAGATATTCAACAGCATGTTCCTACCATTCCCCGTTCTCGCAACCTCGAAGATCCAAAAGCGCAAGAAGTTCGTACTGCTCGGCCTCTTCGGCCTCGGCGCCTTCATCACCGTCATCCAAATCATCCGCATCCAGACCGTCCATTCTCTCGCCAACTACCTCGACTCCGCCCCCCTTATCATGTGGTCCACCGTCGAGAACAACTTGGGAATCATCGTCACCTGCGTACCCACCCTCGCGCCGCTAGTCAAGTACTTCAACGAGAAGAGCAGATCAGGAAGCAGGAGTAACAAATACGGCGGCGCAAGCGGCTACGGACGCAGCGCTGCGACTGGCAACGGCAACGTGGGAAGCAGGTACGCGCTGCAGAGCTGGAGGCCGGGGATGAGCGGCATGCAGCCCCTGAGCAGCGGCATCGACCGCAACGAGACGGAGGTCGGTATTGAGGGCGGCTCGAGAAGGGCAAAGAGCTCTGACGATGGGAGCACGGATTATCACTTGGATGCCCCGGTTATCGTCAAGAAGACGGAGTTCGTGGTGACGAGCAATCCGAGGGAACCTGAGCAGGTTTGAAGGAGAGAGGATGATAGTTGGAACTTGATCGCAACATGACATGACTACCTACTTTAATGAATGAATCTACTCCGTACGGGCACGAGCAGCGCAGGCCGCAGTGTACCGCTTGCTTCAAAAAATAGTTTCCCGGTCTCGTAGACACTGCCTATTGTCTATGTGAAAGCATCTTGCAGAAATTCTAGAGTTTTACGAGTCTGAAGCCGTCGAACAGTGAACAGATACGTTACACTCAGACATCCCGAAGACAAGGATAATAGACAGTCAAAGAATAAGGGCAGTGCTGAACAGAAGAGACAATGAAACATCTAGAACAAGGACAAACATCACAGAGCCACGAAGGAACACTTGTGACAGCGAGGCCGGACGAGGGCGCTTGAGACGCCAGAGAGCAGAAATGATGGGCTCCGATTGCTAACTACCGCTGGAAGAGACGATTCAAGCTCCTTTTTGTATTATACAGTCTCTCCTTCCTTCCAAATGGATGCCCATGTGTTTTGTTGCAATTGTTCGCTCGAGAAATACAGATGCCTTTAGCCAGTCTTGCGACCACCCTTAGCACGGGCAGGCGCCTTGGTGCCGGGGCTGACCTGCTCCTTCTTGGTGACCACAGGATCGTCGCCGTCCTCCTCGTCGTCGTCCTCCTCGATTGACTGCATGACCTGTCGCCCTTGAGTGCTCTTCTGAGGCTTCTGGACGCGGCCCCCACGGACGGTTCGGAGGCTGCCACCGCCCATGAGCTCCTTCATCTCCTGGATCTTCTTGCGCATCTCGCGGCTCTTGTTCTTGTCTCCCATCGCCTCGGCAATGGCCTCAAGGTCAGAGATGCTATCGGTGGCACTGGCAGCAGAGCTGGTAGGGGCGGCGGTAGGGATCGCGGTGGCGGTAGGGGCCTGAGGAATATAGGCCGGGGCCGAGCCACGGTATTCCTCGTCCTCATAGAGATCGTGACGGGCGTGCATGTTGTTGCCGAAGTTGAGCATGTCCGAGTTCTGCTTGATGACGAGGTGACGGAAGATCTCGGTGGGATATCTGCCTCCGTTGATGGCGACAACAGTGAGGACGTCGCGCTGGGTGAGGGCGGTGTCGGACAGAAGCTTGTGGTAGACCTTCTTGTAGAGAACGTGGTCCTTGATGTTCTCGCGCCAGAAGCTGGTCTCAATGTCCTCGAGGATGATCTCCAGAAGCTGGGAATCGACCTTGTTGATCATGGTGCGGATGAAGTCCTTCGACTCCTTCAGCTGGTCCTGGAACCAGTCGTGGTTGGCCTTGAGGATAGCCTCCTTGACCCAGGAGATCGTGTGGCAACGGACGAAGAGATCCTTAAGCACCTTGTTGTACTGTCCGTTGTACTGAACAGGAAGAATGGCCTCAAGGGCCAGGAAGTCGACAAGGTCGGGGCGCCGCTCGCGCTCGGGGAGGTTCTGGTCCTTGAGCGAGTTGCAGATGGACTGGTAGATCGTGTTGTCTGAGATGCAGCGACGGAAGGCGTTCGCGTCCACGCGTGACTGGACGCGACCGAGAAGGGCGGGGGTGAATGTCACCTCCTCACGGATCTTCTCCTTAGCCCGCTCGGCGCGGCGGGCGCGCTCCACCGGCGTGATGACCGCCGTTCCTCTATCGCGTCGGCCAGACATGACGGTATGTATTGGGGGTGTCGTTGTTGTGTGATGTGTATGTATGTATGGTTGAAGGGGAGTGAGGCCCACTGACTTGTGGTGTCGTTGTTGTGTGGCTGTGATGTGTTGAGGGAGAGGTTTATGGAGGGCTGTCGGCGTCCGGTGGTGCCCTTTTATAGTTCAGAATCAGCTGATGCTCAAGGAAAGAGACGAAAAGGAAGGAGCTACCCACCCAGTTGCGGTTGTGAGGCGAAGAAAGAAGTTGTTGTATGGTTATATGGTTGTTGTGTAGTTGTGATATGTTGAGGGAGTGGTTTATGAAGGGCTGTCAGCGTCTGATGGTGTCCTTTTATAGTTCAGAATCAGCTCGTGTTCAAGGAAAGAGAGGAAATGGAAGAAGCTACGCACCAAGTTACGGTGTTGCGGTGAATAGAGAAGTTGTTGTATGTGGTTGTGTCGTTGTCGTGTTGTTGTGATGTGTTAAGGGGGAGGTTTGTGGAGGGCTGATGGCGTCTGGTGGTGTCCTCTTATAGTTCAGAATCAGCCGATGTATAAGGAAAGAGAGGAATAAAAAGGACTAACCAACCTAATTGCGTTGCTGCGAGGTGAAAAGGGGTCTTTTCATCGAAACAAGAGGTAGTGATAGTTGCAAGTTGGTGTTGATGTTGGGGTCAAGATTGAATATGATGAGGTCCCACGCGTGGAGATGAAGATTGGCAGACGCGTTGTTGCTTGTGCGATACTTGGGACGTGCTGACCAAGCTGGAGAGACAAAGGTGAATTGAACAAGTGAAGAAAAAAGGTGGTGAGCAAAGCGTCAAGGTGAATCACTTCTGAAGCACTTGGGGAAGTTGAGAAGCCGGGGAAGGGACACTGGCGACGGACAATGGCGACGGACGACGGCGATGGACGACTGCAACGGACGACGATAACGGACGACGGCCGCGGACGACGATGGCGGCAACGACGGCAGAAATGATGACGCCGAAAGATGGGTATGAAGACGATGAGGTGTGGAAGTTGGTTTGGGTTGGAGATGAGGGGGAGAAGAGGCCCTTTTGTAGCCCAGCCGACTGAGATTTTGAATTTTAATGAAGGAAGTCACACTGATGGGCCGCTCTTGCCGTGATTCAGTTGTAGCGGGGGACTCATGTATTCCTTGAGTATTCGAACTTTCAAGTGCACGAGACCATGATTGAAGATGTCCACCACTAGCCCGATAGAAGAAATGGCCAGCACAAGAAGAATTCCCCAGACTGAGTGTTGCGAAAAGCCGGAAGTCCACTGAGACTTGCTCCAAGGCTCCAAACAGTGCCAGATAAAGCGATTTGTCCAGATGTACACAGCCAGCGACAATAAATCGCGGGGAGAAATGTAGCATCGGTGATTCAAGAGACATCCAGCCAGTCAACGAGAAGAAATCGGTTTCCGTCAAGCAAATGTTTTGATTACAAGTATCTTCAAATTGTTATGCTCCGCGGTAAACTACAACCCTGAAGCCAATGCGTTGAGGTGTACTCATGTAGTCGTCAGGTCATCATCTCATCAGTCTGTGCCAATGAACAAAGAGTAAAAGCCGCCCACTGTTCCAAGGCGTTGTTGTCCTAAAGACACAAAATCAAAACAAGCCAAACATCGAAGCCAAACATTCCAGATGATCAGCATAAATGCACAATACAATACAACTCAAGTCGCCAATGGTTGGATACCTAGAACCTTCATTCCATTTTCCAACACCTGCTTTGCATTCTCATACAACACGGCCCTCGCAAGGTCCACTTCCGGACCCTCAGGCGCTTCTTCGTCTTCGTCGACATCAAGACACTCGATGAGCTGCTCGACCAGACGGTACAAGAACGAGAGGACGGCGGAAGGTTCGACCGATTTGTAAGCAGCGTTGATGACGTCGGGATACTGCGCCATGAGTCGGAGAAGATTTGTGTACTCTTCCTCTTGCAGATGTGTGTAGTCTACGTCGGCCAGAGCCGTGGGGTCGGCTTCAAGCTGCCCCAAAGACAACTTGAGTCTGGTGTATGCAAACTGAAGTGCAGCACCAGTGTCTCCTTCAAACTCCGTCATCTTCCTGCTATCGAATGCGTAGCCGTTGCCGCGCTTGGTGTGCATGTCTTGGGCGATCAAAGAGGTGATACCGAAAGGCTCAGCGGCGGCAGCTGGAGCACCACCTTCTTGCTCGGCCATGGCTGTCTTCACTGCAGCAGCACATTGATCAATCATGTCGCCAAAGAGATGCGCGTTGCCGAGCTGCGCCGAGAGACCCTGTACCTTGCCGAAGCCGACGTGCTGGAGCTTCTTGGCAAGGTCAACGTGGCCCATGAGCTCGATGGCCTTTGCAACGCGTGCGAAGTGGGCATCTTGGTCGGACGTGACGACGTAGATCAGCTTGTCGAAGGAGTGCTTCTTGTCGAGGTCGATGACGTTGGCGATGTCGCGGAGGAGATACATCGTAGTGCCGGTACGATTGCGTAGCACTGCGGTGCTCAGTCCTTTGGAGCCGTGCTTCTTGAAGTCGATGACCCAGGATCCCTCGCTCTCCTCGAGGACACCCTTGTCCTTGAGGACAGCCTCGACCTCGGCGATGGACTCGGACGTGACTTGTGACTCGCCATTGTACTCATCGAACTTGATACCGAGACGCGCGTAGGCTTTGGTGTAGTCCTCGACATAGACGTCACGGAACTTCTTCCACAAAGCCATCGCATCGGCGTCGCCATCCTCCAACCGCTTGAAGAAGGCATCGCGCTCAGCGTAGATACCTTGCGACTCGATTTCGGCAGTGCTCTTGTTGTCGGCTTTGGCCTTGTGGCTGGCCTCGAGCTCAGGCTTGAAGGCTTCCACGATCTTATTGTAGACGTCGAGAAGGTGACGGATGGCATCCTTCTCAAACTCCTCATCGGAGCCGAACTTCTCCCAACCGACGGCAAGAAGGGCGACTTGCTTGCCCCAGTCGCCCAGGTAGTTCATGCGGACGACATCCCATCCCATGCGCTCATACAGGTTGGCGATGGCAGCGCCGTTGATGGTACTGCGTAGGTGCCTACCCTCAAACTCGCTGGCAATATTGGGAGAGGAGAACTCGACGATAGCCTTCAGCTTTACAGAGTCAGGAGCGGGTCGAAGGCCGAATGACTCGTCACCGCCGTATAGTTCCTTTCGGTCCGCGATGAAGGGAAGGAGGAGCCTAGGTAGCGTAATGGGGGAGGAGAAAATTCGGATGTGGATGCCGTCAACAAATGGAAAGGTGTAAAGAGGAGACTTAGGGAACTGCACAATCTGATCAGCCTGGTTTAGGGAAATCAAACGACAGGTTCTTCTTACCTTTGCCAGAAGCTCAGCCGCAACCTCTGCATTAGCTTTGATCTTCAGACGGGGAAGGATGACAGCTAAATCTCCCATGGATATCGCAGCAGTAGTCTGAATCGCCTCGTACGCAAGAGCTGGGTCACATCCAGTGACCTCGGCAACAATTTTCGCAATGTAAGAGCGAAAGATATCAAGAGGACGTACCAGTACGTCAGCAGGGGGGAAAGAGGGAAGAGGAGTATCGAGGCTCAGCCTCTCCAGAGAAGAGTGAAGACCGGTGATGGAAAGAGTCGCCATGGTGTGTGATAGTGATTGCTTTCTACATTCCCTTCTGCACAGCCTGGTTTGGTGTGTGAGATGAAAGAGAGCAAGAACATTGTCACAATTGACATGGGAATTTGGAAGTCCTTCTTGAAGGGAGGCTGAGTGCACTGAGCCTGGGTGTGGTCGGGCATTAAGCATTGTACTTTTCAATTGACGCGGCATGACGAGATTGGATATGCTTGCAGCGATGTGAGCTGGGCCGCTTGGTTGGGTTCGGGTGATGCATGTGTTCTTCTCGGGGATTGAATCTATTGGATGGGAAGACAAGCTACTCACTCCAATAGGTTGCCCTACTTTCATCCCGACATCCAGCTGCATGTCTTCATCGGTTTCTTGTTTGGCCGAAATGCGAGAGCAGTAACCCCAACCAAGATAAGCTTGCCTCAGGAAACGACACCAATAATTGCTCAGAAGTTAGCTTGCGACGTACTGTCGGCCTAACACGTCATAGCGATTGTACAAGAACGCAAGGCCAACCTTCATGCATTTATGAAATGACTCCTCGAAATTGTCCAAGCTTGAAAGAAATTAGAAACAAAAAAGGAAAAGGAGGAGGATGGAGACTGAGAGGAAGAGAAAGAAAAAGGGGGCAAAAAGAAGAAAAGAATTAAAAAAATCAATCAGAATTTCGTTCACAATTCGGCTGAAATTCCCAAGAAGCCATCCGAAGGCACAATTAAAATGCCCTAGATCGAGTACCAAAGCCAACATGATGGCTAATCCTCGTCAAAAAATCGGATTGAGATGGTGATACAAGTGACAGAAATGATCCTTAGCAACCAAGAGATTATCTCATATCACTTGGTGATAGCAACCACTATTTGAGCCGCCGTTTTGATTGTGACTAACTCGTACTGTTGCCGACCATGGATACGGAAAGGGAATGAAATGGATTACTGATGCCGCCACAGTCATCCTTAGAAATTAAGATCTACGACCAGAAGAGAACAATAGAGCTCGGGTGGACAATGTGTCTGAAAACGCCTGGTCGATTCTTCACAGGCAAGGAATCGACGCACGACTCGTTGCTGAAAGTTGTAGCGTCGCCATCGCGACCGTGGAAGTGAATCCCATCACACTAGCAATTGCGAGCCCGTGTTCAATGTTGCCGGTCATCCAAGACCACAGTATGCCAACAAGAACAAAAAATGACACCAAAATCAAACGAATGTTCGATATGCGGTGGAGATTTGGGCCTTCCTCGATTGCTAGACCGTACCCAGTTCCCCTAGTCTGATCATCCAGGAAAGGGCCGTCGATTTTGTGGGTGATTCGATCTAAAATATCTCCACCGGACTCATCATACTCCGGCGGAGTTTTGTAGTATCCGAGCAGAAGATCAGACCCAATGAGTTCGTAGGAGTCAGTTTCGG